CACCCCTTTTCCTTCTTGCTGTATTAGTCTGCCTTTCTGTTGCTGTTACACAACACTGATGAAAAACAGCTTGGGGAGGAAAGTATTATTTCCCGTTTCACTTCCAGCTGACAGCCCCTAATTGAGGAAAGCTGGGGTGGGGAGAGAATGGCAGACTGGAGTAGAAAGAGGTAGAGTTGGTAGTGGGGCTCAAATCAGAAACTGCAACTGAGGCCATGAAGGATTGCTGGTTACTGGCTTCCCTTAAGAAAACAGAAAGGCAGGGGTATGGGATCCAGTGAGCAGCTAGCTTCATGGGGCATCACTGCTTTGTACATGCAGAAAATTCAATAGAATGGCTTTAAAATGATATCCTTAATGAATGATGAATTATTAATACTAAGAGAAGGCGAGACAGCACATATGTATGAGAGGAAGACACAGAGAGAAAGATTTAATAAGCACTTTTCTTCTTACAGTTCTAAGAATTACATGGACAGTACATTCATATTCAACGGACGATACTTAACAGATCTAGAGATTTAAACACATTGTTTTCAAGGTCAAATCAAATTGGAGGCAATCATTCTTCATTCCATTTATAAGGCCTAGGTAACTTGTCTTGGTGAAGCTAGTACTAAAAATGTCTTCTTTTAGACAGGTAGTTAAAGTACCATCAGAACTCATTTTTGACTGTCAAAACCAGAATTATTTGCAAGCTATAGATGCATACAACCTTGTGGGCTGACACCTCACTTACCTGTTAAATCAGCTAAAGGATTATCTTGTCTTTTATGTGAGTTCAGGAGCAAAAAGCTATTTAAAATTCCTTCTCTAGAGAAATTCTATTAGCAGTATTCTATTTCCTTGGCAGCCCTAAAAGGAAGTAGCCCAGTAATTTACCATCATATTTTTAAGTCACTTTGGGTTACTATTTTAAAAGTTGGATGCACTCTAAGAGATTAAGAGATAGGGTTCATCCCCAAACAGCACTATGTTTACCAGAGTTGTCTACTTACAATATTTTCCCCAAACCTGACAGTTATCCATGTAAGCCACTATGTATTAGCATAGAAGAATTGAAATATGCAAGAGACTGATAGGTGACGCCACAAATAGATCGTGTCTTTACCTGTTACTCTCTGAATATTTGAATATGTACAAATGGATAGGTTATCCCTTTGCATATGAGTTTGAATGTATCTCAGAAGGGAAAGGAAGAAAGAAAAGGAGTCAATGTACCATTAAAAATAATCACAGGCACAGAACAACTTTGAGAAGAAAAAAAAAAAAACAATATTGAGGCATATCCGGTAATTGGAAGATTGATACTGATAGTGAGGCTCAGCACATTCGGAATTATAAAATGAAGGAAAATAAAGAACAAGAGAAGACTGGCAATAATCACTACCACTTACTGGGTTCTAAATGAACATCAAAATCATATCCAGTGCTTGACATAAGAACCGCTTCAAGTCTAAGATGATGCATTCGTATAGTGTTCAGTGCATGCTACACTTACCCATTGAATAACACATTTAGGTTCTCTCTCTCTCTCTCTCTCACACATTTATTTTCTTTCTCTCTCTCTCTCTCTCTCTCTCTCTCTCTCTCTCTCTCTCTCTCTCTGTCTGTCTTTTTCTTTCTCTCTCTGTCTCTCTGTCTCTCTCTCTCTCTCTGTTTCTCTCTCTCTCTCTCTCTCTCTCTCTCTCTCTCTCTCTCTCTCTCTCTCTCTCTCTCTCTCTCTCTCTCTCTCTCTCTCTCTCTCTCTCTCTCTCTCTGTATCTCCTTTTGCCAAGTTGTTCAAAATCATATGCACTTGATAGTGTCAAATACATAAGCCAAACCGAGATAAGCTAACTCGAGAAATTAAAGTGGATAGAAATTTCCACTTACACTCTTTACAGCTCATCTCTAATCTTCATCTGAACCTAGTTAAGGTGGGTGTTATTCATCCTGTTGTAAAGGTAGCAGATAATTTTAATTTACAAGCTTATTTGTAAATCACAGAATTAAGGTTGAAATGTCTTTGGCCTATTCTACAATCAGTGTGCTTTCCATAGGATTAGTCTGCCCTCGTGGCATTATTTTTCATCAGTTCTAAATTCATTTGCCATTTATTTAACAAATATTCATTGAGCATATTGTGCTCTAGGAATATTCTATAAGAGAGGTATATTTCCATAGGTCACATTCTAACAGGGATAGATAGACCATAAGTAATTCCAAGAACACAGGTCCAATGTTAGTGTGCATAAAAAAGAAAAACTAAGCATCATAATTGGCTAGGAAATGGTGGGATAAAGCAATTGCTTAAGTTTCTTACATAAGATGGTCACCACAAGGAAATCTGCTGCCTTCACTGGTACTTTGATGGTACTGTAATTTTCTGTCACAAGTATATTGGTTCTTATAGCACCTAAAATTCAATCTGACTTTTATATCATTATAGCTTTTAGAAGAATATGTTTGGCTTACTATTTCATTGTTGATATAATTTTGTGTTGATTTACTTTATAATTTTTTTTACACAACTAATAGTCTATGTGTTTAGGTCTCAAAGTCCAGAAGACTTTATGATAAGTTCTGAAATGAGCCCATTCTCTTCCCAATCATGACAGATTGTTTGTGTCCTAGATGACCAAGTCTCTGTTCCTTCCCTAAGAATTTTCCTAACAACAGCAAAGAAAAAAATAAGTTACGATGGGTAGATGGAAGAGGAACTGTAATCTAGGCCATTCCTACATCAGTAGTAAAACTATTTTATTCAGAGGATCCTTCACTGCTTTGCCCCAGTGAGATAACCAGTGAGAATGCTCTGAGCATATATACACACCACTCATCCTTGGGAAGTACACACCAAGATCTATAGAGAATGTCTGAAACCCAATGTACTATGTAGTATGTTTATGCTTATACAAAACAATCCTTTGATTGTTAAATGACTATTTGAAACAAAAGCAAATTTCAGTTGTCATTTATTCAAAATGCTCAGTTTAATAAAGTAAACAAATGTTTGCATATATTAGGAGATGATAACTTTATAGCAGTTAACTATAAGTTCTTCTCCTCGTCACTTATACTTGATGTGGATGTTGGTTATTAGACAGTAGCTCATGCAGTAGTGATGTCAAGAACTAATGGACTGACTTTAATTGAAGCACACTTCTATTGCAAAGTGTATGAGGGTAAGATGTGTTAAATTTGTTTTTGCTTTTCTCTAAAAGGCTGAAAACCTCCTTCCCTATAGTAATTAAAAACAAACAGCAACCATTAACTTACTGTGGGGTTCTAATGGCCATAATATTGCTTCCTTGCATGGATGACTTACTGATCCAAAGCAAAGCAATTCAATATAGAAATTATCTTGAAAATTAAAAACCATCCAAGATAATGAATAGTTTCAATTTCTAGAGCACCAATTTATGTGTGCTTGCCTTTTTAATGCAGTCTTCTGTGCATACACAGCTTGCTGCCTAACAGACTGGCCTCAGAGAGAGTCACTATCAAAGAGCAGTATGCCCAACTCAGTTTCCTAATGCTATGGCTTTTGGGGGTATTTTCATTCACTTGTTTACTCATTCATTCAGAAAACCTTTATCGAGAAGCTTGTTTAAGTTAGTGTTCTCCAGGGTGCTGTAGGAAATGAAGGAAATATAAACTTATCTGCTCCCAAAAGGATTATTTTTGTGAGGATTTAATCAAATTTTAATTGTCTTATATTTAGTTAGTTGTTTCATAATTTATTTACTGAGACTGTGTTACTTATTATTTGGGAAAATTACATTTTGGGAGTGGGAGCCTTAAAAATTGTGGGTTAAGTATCCCTTATAACAAACATTTGTCCATATTTCTAACATTTCTTGGCAATAAGTTTTTACTAGTAGAAGGCCACTAGGCACACACAGAAAACATTGCCAAAGCAGATCCAAAGAAGAAATGGAAACAGGAAGTTTGAATCCTTTCCCTCAACCACCAACAATGTGAGATAGTGTGTCCCTATTCTCTTCCTTTCCTGTGTTAAGAATATGAATATCTGCTGTATGTCATCTGTCATTGACACTTCCTCTTCAGAATTGTGCAACATTTCTTGTTAAGAAAAAAAAATGTAGTTTTGATAAAAAGATTTCAAGTAATACTGAGTTTATAGGTGCCAAAAATCATCAAGATTCCATTCTTTCCTACTAATGCTGAGTTTCCAAATCTTTATTTTTTTCTATGTATGCATGCTTTGTCTTCATGCATGCCTGTACACCAGCATTTGTGCCTGGTGCACATGGAGGCCAGAAGGAAGTGTCAGATCCTCTGGAACTGAAGTTAGAGTTTTGTGCCACCATGTGGGTGTTGGGAACTGAAGCTCTGTCCTCTGGCAGAGCAGCTAGCAGCTTAGCCTGTGAGCCAACCCTCCAGCCCCCAGTTTGGATTCTTTATTTCCATGAGTAAAATGAAACAGTTAAGCACTAGTTTAAATGCAAGAAGACGAATAGATCTTCATTTCATTGAGGTATGTTAAAATTTTGAAGTATTTATTATAGATTTTGTGGATTAAATTAAGTAGCAAAACACTATATTCAGTGTTGGTGCTGCTTCTTTTAGCAGGTTCCTTATACAAAGGAAGAATTTTGTGCTTATCCATAGAATATGTGACTACAGTTATTTTATTGCTTTTCTTCACTTTGAGTACATATAGAAATTATCTATTGTGGAACCTATTTAGTAACTCATTATTAAAGTGAAAAATATCTTAATCAGTGGAAACTGCAGCTGATTTCTCACTGATCTAGTCTATTTAAAAACTTACCTTTGCCCTTTTTCTTTTCCCAAAGCTGTATTTGTTATGCAAGGTTCCCAGCAGCAGTGTAGAACCTGAACCATTGCTTACTTTAGGGGATCCTGTGCTGTAATTCCTGGGTTTGCCACTTCCATCTTTCTAATAGATGTTCTGTTTTTCCTGATTCTGTACCTAAGTTACAAAGTCCCCTTCCTACTCCTATCTGATTGGTCTCACTGTTTGTTTTCAGAACCATTGGACACAAAAACCGTTTGGTCAAAGTCCCCCGTGGTCACATGTGGGTTGAAGGCGATCACCATGGACACAGTTTCGATAGTAATGCTTTTGGGCCGGTGAGTCAACTTGTGCCTTGTTTCTGTAAAAGTTGCATGTCAAAGGTCAAAGGCAAGTGGAACCCAATAATTTGCAATTTGCTCTGTTCTTTCAACCAAGACTGATCAGAGACTTTGCAATAGAACACTTTATGTTGGGAAAATTCCACAGGGAAATAGGTGTGTGTGTTGTGGTGTGTGTGTGTGTGTGTGTGTGTGTGTGTGTGTGTGTGTGTATTTCAAGACTGTGCAATTGGAAGATCTTCACACCCTCACAGATATGCCTTCTGACTATGTTTTCAGTTAATGTTTAACCAATGGAATATGTAAGAAGATAAACAGGCAACAATTTTCTAAATCTCTATTCAATACAACAGTAGTATAAATTATAGTAGTTAATGTGGGCGACGTAGGTTTCCTTGCTTCTCTCTTCTGGTTCCATCTCAGTCTGACAATGAAATTGGTGTCAAACAGATTATCAGGAGAATGATACATACAAATTTAATATGTTTCAGTTGTCACAAAAGCCCTCATAAAGAAGCTAAGACCTCTAAAAATGGTGAAACTCACCTACTTTTGTATCAGGTTGAACAAAGGCAGGTAATTTTAGACAAGTGACTAAATTATGTGGAGAGGCTAAAGGAAGATAAAAATTATCTGAAGAAGTCAAGCTTCTTCAGCTATGACTCTCCATTGATGAATATGTCTTGTCATCAACTAGAGGGAGGACAGCTTTTGCCAGGGAGTTTTAATCTCCTGTTTTCAAGAAGAAAGGAGATTAGTGTGCCCACCTCCTGTCTGTTGTTTTTAAAGTACCCTTAGCTTAAAGTAATCCTTGTGTCAGAGTGGCATGCTTGGGGGTGGCACATTCTGGTACTGTTCATAAGTGACATTTTGTTAGCATTTAGCTTATAGCAGAAACACAGACACACTCTACTCCAGGCTTATCCATAGAATGTGACTACACTGGTATTTTATGGGTTTTTCTTCACTTTGAGTGCATATAGACAGTCTCTATGAGTCTTCATGGTAACTCATTATGAAAGTGAAGAATTTATTAGTCAGTGCAAACTGCAGCTGATTTCTCGTTTGTCTGGTCTAAATAAAAACTCACCTTTGCCCGCTTTGTTTTCTTAAAGTTATGTTTGTTATTCATGTACAGGAGGAAGCAATTATTTAGCATCTTTACACATGCTTGTGTAAAAAGTACTGCCTCATATTTTCTCAAAAATTAAAAGGTTGTGGTCTCTAATAAAAGAGTTTCTTACATATATTGAGGAGCTAGTGTTATTGCCATGAAATATGCTGCCACTTGGACTTAACTTTGGTTAAAAATACAAGAGCTGAATTTGAATAAATATGTGGAATTGTGGGAGAAAGTTTAACACACCATTTTTTTTCTCTAGTCATACTGAGGATTTAAAAAAAATCCTAAGACCTATCCTTGCCTTTGAAAATTAATTATATAAAAATATTACTTAATCTAAGTTCTACCAAAGATGAAAGAGAAATGAAAAATGTTGAAAATGTTTTTTGCTGCTTTCAATGCAGGGCAGTTGTCTGTAGTGAAGAAATCAAGTAGCAACTTGAAAGAAAATCACTTGAATATAGCTCTGTTTCTTTGACCAAGTTCACAATGAATGTTATTTAACTTTACCCAGTTTGAATTCATTATTGCAGTGATTGTGAAGGAAGTACTAATTGTGTTACTTTCTATCAGTTGTTAAGTTACTGATAGTGGATGAAATGCTATAAATGTAATTATTATGACTATCAATCAGTTGGTTGCTCTTTGCTTTCCTGCTGGAGAAAGAAAAGGGGTGGGGGGGGTTGGAAGAATTGCTTGTGGGCAAAGGACTGTCATGGATGCACAGGGACCTGAATTTGGTCTCCAGAACTCATATAAAAGGCAAGGCATAGTAGGAAGGTTCCTGTAGTCATAGCACTGCATAGGAGGACACAGGAGCAGGAGATGCACCAATCATCCAGTCTATGCTAACTGCTGAGCTCCAAATTCAGTAAGAGATTCTGGCACAAAAAATTTAAGGTGTACAGTGCTTGAGGAAGACTCTGGGTGTCAATCACTGCCCATGTTCCAAGCCCACATACACATGCACAAGTCAAGACATGCATACATATTAACAGATATGTGCACATGACTATGCATGCATACACAAAATTTTAAAAACCAAAAAGGCAATAATAAAGCTGTGAGTTGGGTGCTGGGAATTTCACTGTGTCCTGTGGATTGTATACCTCTTGTGTCTCCTTTTCCTGTCCTACACTTAATAAGTGTGCTTTGAATCACTGAACTGTGACTCTAAAGACACCCACAAAAGAATAACAGATGTCGATGTATCCTTTTTTTTTTAATGAAAGAGAATAAGAATTACATGTGAAGGATAATTTCACTGTGTTTATTACAATAAGAAACAACATCACATAAAACTTTGGCAGACATCTATTATCTCTCAATGCCATTTGGTTTACACCAATATTTTAGGTGAAATCTATTTGTTAATTACAATAGAACTAATAATTTAAATAAAAACAAAATTATTTTGAACTCTGGTAACACCCCCCCTTTTATGGATAGAAAATACTTATGCAACCTTACTTTTGGTTTATGAGTTAAACATAATGTTAATTTCCATTTGGGAAACTAATATTCTTTCTATTATCCAAAATTAAGTTCAATACTGTAGGGTCTTAGCCCAACCATGAAAGGCTGAGCTGGGTCCGAGGAAGGGTAAGTGTGCTACTAGCCCATTCCCATCTTCCCAGGATCCAGGAGACAATCAGACACAGCAGGGAGTCAAGTCAAGCTAGAACTCGTTTATTGCCACATAGCAAGCATCTTTTAAAGCAAAAAACCGCAGGGTTATAAGGAAGTGGGAAAACAGCCAGCCAATGGTTTTAAAGGCCAACCTATCATGCACCTAGGCGCCCTATGCTTAACCCACTGTACAAGCAGTGATCTCATCCGGTTCAGCTGTAATCTCCCAAAGAAGACTCAAGAACACAAATGTCTCATCCTGATATTTTTGGGCTTTGCTGTTTTATTATTTCCTGTGTACTTTTTTTATACTGTCATTTGCTGTTTTGATTTGTTTTGCTGAAATTATGTAGGCTAAAAATAGAATTGACTGGTATTATGAATGAAAGGTTAATAAAGGCTTATTAGTGTGAATATTTTAACAATAAGCTGCAGCAATAAAGAATTTGCAACAGGAAGAGAAATTGGACATAACTACTAGTCCAACATCCACATTCAGTTTCTTGAGGAAGATGTCATTGAAAGAAATTAGGGCAGTCTTGTACAAACACAGGTCACAAAAAAAAAAAAAAAAGAGAGTAGGTAGTTTTAGTTATGAACTCTCTGCTCCACTGCACAAATTTATATTTTCACATGATTATGAAGAAAAGAGCCCTTCTCTAAAGTAATTGTAAATAAGTGAATGATAAAATGGTCATATTCACACAAAATAAAAATTTTAATATCCAATCAGAGCAAATTAACATAGAACTATAATTAAATGACATGATTTAGCCATAGGGTAAATTTTAAGTTCAGGACAGTATGCTTATAAACAATTTTAATTATACAATCAGTATTTATATTATTGAATGAATATATTAAAACAAGGAAGTAACTATAAAGCATTATATTGTCTCCAGTGTTAGTGTTAGATCAATGCTTGATTCTTTTTATACCATTGTAATTACCCACATTTTTAAAGTTGTTGCAAGTATTTTACAGACTTTATAGTTATAAACATGTATTTTGTTTCAAAGCTAGTTTAAAGATGATTGAAAGTAAGTGACATGTAAGGCCAAATCTATCTCTTTGTTCTGTAAAAATGCTCTCCAATTCTGTGAGCAGAGGGAAAAATATCAGATGTGCTTGGGTGTGAAAACTGTTGATTACGCTTAACAATATCACTATGAAATATCTTTATGCTAAACATGTTGGATATTTGCTGAATACTAGAAAATATCTTCTTACATATGGACCTGAATTTATTGCTTCAGTTTGGATTCCTAGTGTGAGAAATAACTTTTATAAGGTTCATTTGAAATTATAATAATTGGAACAATTCAGAGTCTATGACTACTTGATTTTATTGAATTATGTAAAAGAAGATATCCAATGTAGGTTTATAATTATTTAGAATATTTTCTAGGCATTTCTCATAGTAACTCTTCTACTCTAGCAATGAAATTAGGATCCTCCCCATGGCCCCACATACTGTTAGACGGCATTAGTACATTTTCTGAAATAGCCACGTCGTTCTTTGTCAGCACCCAGAAGTAACTTTTCACTGCAAGTGTTGATTTGTGCTCTCCTAATAGTAGGGCACATCAAAGGTAATGGCCTGTCACAATGTGGATGTGTGCTTCACAGCCATGGACTTTCAAGGAGTAATTTTTAGCTACTTCAAGGTAGCAAAGTCTTCCATCAATTAAAATCCAGGCCGGCCTCCTCTCTTCCATTTATTATAAATGTGCATTTCAGTGCTCATGTTTGAACTGTTCTCATAAGTATTCATTCCTTTTGGTGAAAACAGAACTCTGACTCTTTTGATGGCCTCCATTTAGCTTATGCATTTTCTATCTTTGAAGTTTTTCTAACATTTTTATCTTGCTGTAAGTCACGAGCCTCTGAGATATTTTCATTTTGTGCTGCATGGTGATTTTTCATAAGGAAATATGTCATAACAGAAAATCCAACATATACAGAGAAATAAAAGCTGAGAAGTTTAGTATCTAAAATAAATAATTTGTTTGGACTACTTGATCAAAAGATGTTAGAAGGAAACTTTGGTTTAAAATATTTCAAAGCAAAGGAATTCTTTCTAATATATATAAATGCAGTTTAATTTTTAGGTGTGTGATCACAGTGTCATCTTGTGAACAATTTCTGTGCAGAGACCATGAAGCAGAATGGAACAATTTGGATGCAGAAATTATTATGATATAGTGTCTCTACCTGAGAAGAGAAACTACAAGTTATGTGAAATATG